CCCCTGTTCTACTTCCTATCTCCACGGATCCCTTCCCCCCCCCCCCCGCCACACACACACACACCCATTGCAGACAGTTCACAAAAATAGAGTCATGTGCTGCTTGGCCTTCCGTGTCTGGCTTCTGTCTAGAAATCGTGGTGCTGATGTTTCGAGGTCTACCTACAGTGTCTAATATCTTCAAGGTTCATCCACGTGGTATTGATAGGAATCAGTAGAGTTCACTACCTTGTTAATGTTCTGTGTCTATTGTTTACCATGTCTGTGATCCATTGACGAGTTGTTTTTCTCTTCTGCTTGCGTGAGCAAGGCTGCCATTCACAGCTATGTTCCCGTGTCTATTTGAGCCCTTATTTGCTATATGCCTAGGAATAGAATTGCTGGGCCTCCTATTGTTCTGTGTTTAACTTACCGAGGGATGGGTTAATGGTTTCTACGGCAACTGCCCCAGTTTCAGTTCCTACCAGGAGGGGGTGAGGATTCCTCCAGTCCCTCCACATCCCCACCAACACATGGGTTACTTTTTTTTTTTTTTTTTTTAGCTTTGATCGGGGCACAGTAACAGGGCACTGCATATTCTATACTTGGAGGAGAGAACATTTGTCCTTTGTTCTGTGGGAAGGGCTCATGCGTACATTGATACTACTTCACTTGCTTCTGGTGATGTTTCCACCAAGATGCTTTCCCAGTTCCTGGTTCAGGAGGAATGCGGGACTCAGAGGCCTAGGTGTTTGTGAATCCCCCCCATTCTCTTGAGAGAAAACAATATGGAAAAAAAACACAAATGTCCCCCTGAACAAGGTGGCAGGGCATGAAGATTTGTCATCAAACCGAGATGGGTATTGCTACTAGGGGTTCAAGTACATGGGTGTTTCCAAACTTTCCACAAACACTAGCATAGCCTTCGGCTGCAAGTGTCAAGGGATCAGAGGTAGGGAATAACTTGCCTGCCATCAGAATGTCTTTGAGACTGCTCAGGTTCTCAGTCATCTCCATGTGACAGCTGATGCTGAAAGCAGAGATGTGTGAGCAGCCTGCCCCTTGTCACCAGCTGATAACAAAAGAGCAAGGTTCCGAGCCTGCCTGACTCGAGACCCCTGCAGCCTGAGTCCATTCCTGGAAAGGTTGTTCTCAATCGTTCTCAGTCACCGGACTGTGCAGTCGTGTACATATATTTACTCTGATTTCCTAAGAAGAAAACTAGCCGGGAAATGCTTTTAGATCTCTCTTGGACAATTTCAGATCTTTCCCAATTCTTTAAATACCTGACTAAATACTGCTGGGCAGAAATATGGGGGTGGGACCCAGAAAATCTGTTATTGTGATGAAACACACAAGATAAACATCATATCACATAATGCAAAGTTGGCTATAATGAATACTTTTCAGTGTAGGATTCTACAGCATTTAGTCCGTCCAGTTCTTGGCCTCCTTAGTTGAGGCTACTCAATGTCTCTGACAATCACTGTCGTCTGTTAGAACAGTCTCATCACCTCAGAAGGAAAGGTTGTACCCATTGGGCCTTGCTGGGATTAGAGTTAGACAGCTAAACTTGCACGGGACAGATCGTAAATATGCTACTACAGGAGAGTGTGTCCCAGGGTGGGCCTGTGCTCAGTCCACACCTCCTTTATTCTATAGGGAGAAAATTTCACCTGGATTTGAGGGGTTCCAGAAGTGTCACTCAACTAAGAGGTAGAGTAGACCCCCAACTTCTTAACTTCCAGCTTTTGACAGGGAAGAAACCCTTGATAACTTGCTTCAAAGCCATCATCAATCAAGGGCCTAGGGAAGGAAATACCCAAGGAGAGAGAAAGGAGTTGGGGAAGGAATTAGTGAAGAGGAGGATGAGTGAAGAAAGAAGAGATGGGAGGTTAGGGATGCTGAGTGCTTTTCAGCCTGTTTTGTAAGAGCACAGACAAGAAATCAATATGGCCGACGGTGTAAGCCATCAATCCCTCTTCTTCCTCTGCTTACTCTTGCCTCCTAAGGAAGGCTGAACCTTTCAAGGTTCTCAGACCATTGAACAGCTAAGAATCGGTGAAAGGAGCGTGCTGGAAGCATCTGTAAAGAAGAACATAGGAATCCGAGAAGGGAAGAGTCAAGATTTGGAAGCCAGAGAAGTCAGGGAAGGAAGCTGGCCAGAGGTGACATGGCTGTCACTGAGAATACTTGGAAAAGCAGAGACATATCTGAAGGGGGATTTGCATTAAAGAAGGTTCGTGTATGAGACTTTCCCTCTCCACCATCTTTCCACTAAGTGTTTAGGAAAATACGTTCTCTATGGTTGGCTTCGACTTTGTGGGATGATTAAAGAGCTAGTTATTAATTCAGCAATGCATAAATATTGAGTAGTGGGCTGGTGAGATGGTTCAGTAGGTAAAGAGGCTTGCCTCCAAGCCTAAAGACCTGAGTTCAATCCCTGGGACCCCCATGGTGGATGGATAGACTTGAAAAATTTGTCCTTTTGACCACAAGCTCACCATGATACATGTGCCCCCCCCATACACACAATTTAAAATAAGAATGAGGTGACTTAATAGGTTAAAAATAAAGAGATATTTTCATGTATAGCCAGACTGCATAAAAGTGGGAGGGCTGAACTTCTGTTTTGGAGAAAAGGAAAACAAGGTTTAGGGTTTGCATGTAACCTAACATTGAGTGCAGATAATAAAGGTTCTCCCACAGAGAGAACTAAACCAAGACCATAAGGCACGTTTGTTACTGCAAAAGGAGTGTTAGGGATCTAGTGGAGAGATGAAGCTAATGAAAGGTACCATCCAAGACATTTGCTCAGACACTTTAGGTGCAGTGAACTGGTAACAAAGGAGCAAGATCAGAGCCTGCCTGACTCGAGACCCCTGAAGCCTGAGTCCATTCCTGACAAGGATGTTCTCAGTCATTCTCAGTCATGGACTCTGTGCAGCCGTGTACAAATATTTACTTTGATTTCCTAAGAAGAAAACTGGCCAGGAAAAGTTCCCTCCTGGATGATTACAGATCTTTCCCAATTCTTTAAATACTTGGTTAAATATTGATCCAGCTGCCTTCCTGAGATAAGAGTTGGAGACCTAAACTTGTGTGGGAGAGATGATAGATGTGCTACCACAGGGGAGTGCGTCCACCATTTTGGTAGAAAGTAGAGATGTGTCTTTCTTGTAAAGAAGCAGTGCCAGGCCTAGAGGCGTTTGATCTGCTACCCACGTCAAGTCGGGTGCATTAGCTTCCATTGTTGCTATAACAAACCAGCACCAACCTAGATGGTGTCTGTGGAAGATGTCTCAGTTTGCACATCAGACTAGTGGTCTCCTCAGAACAGCTCTGGTCTCCTTGGCGTTCTTAGTCCTGCAGCCACAGACGATTTGAATAGACTTCCTGTCTTCCAGCTCAACTCTTCCCTACTTGTAGAGGGAGCCACAAAGGTAACAGAGGTTACAGACTCCAGACAGTCTGATAGATCCAGATAGCTAGGATCCCTTTTGGAGAGCAGATGCTAGCGACTGGCTCGTTATTTCTCCCTCCACGATCACTGCTTCAAAACAAGAAACCAGTCGTAATGGACCTTCTTTTTTTTTTAAAAAAAAACTTTATTTATTTATTTATTATAAGTACACTGTAGCTGTCTTCAGACACCCCACAAGAGGGCATCAGATCTCATTGCAGATGGTTGTGAGCCACCATGTGGTTGCTGGGATTTGAACTCATGACCTCTAGAAGAGCAGTCAGTGCTCTTAACCACTGAGCCATCTCACCAGCCCCCTGGACCTTCTTTCCAAGATAATTTTTGTAGCACTTTTGCCAAGAGCTCCAACAAGTTGATGACATACTAAGTGCTGACTCCTATGGATGTATAGGTTATAAATTATCTTTTCTTTCTTCTTTTTTTTTTTTTTTAAAAAAAGAAGAATAGCTTTTATTTACTTGTGTATCTATGTGTAATTCTGTGTACCTCATATATGCAGAAGCCGACGGAGATAAGAAGATGGTATCAAATCCCCTGGAGCTGGAGTTACAGGGGGGTGCGACCAACCATGTGAATCTTGGGGTTCAAATTCAGGTCTTGAACAAGAGCGGTAAGTGCTCTAACCATTGAGCAACCTCCCCAGCCCCGCTCTAACCACTGAGAAATCTCCTCAGCCCCACTCTAACCACTGAGCAATCTCCCCAGCCCACACCCAAGTCTGGAAGCCAGAGCTCAACACTGTCTTCCTCACTTTCTCGCCACCTTACTGTTTTAGACAAGGTATCCTTGAATCTGGAGCTTGCTCATTCATCTAGGATGACTAGCCAATGAGCTTCAGGTATTGGCCTGTCTCTATCTCTCCAGTGTTTCTTCCTGGCCTGGAACTCATCAAGTAGAGTGTGTTAGCTGGCCAACAAGCCCCAGGGCTCCATCTGTCCCCCTGCCCAGTGCTGGGGTAATAAGGACAATGCCACCACACCTGGTTCCTTCATGTAGTTTCTAAGGATTGACCTTACGTCTTCATGACCATAAGACAAGCACTTGACAGACTACGTCCACCTCCCCGGGTCCTTGTTTTGATTTTAAACCATTATGGTACCCGAGCTGACTGTAGAAGCAATTAAGTTCCAGGTGAGCTCATTATCCTCCTTCCTCAGCCTCTCTGGGTGAGGACGGGCGGGCGGGAACTACAAGGCCCAACTGTATTTGTTCACCTATTTATTGATGCTATGTCCTGCCTGGTACTAGATCTATAGCGCATGCACTGTGTCAGAGCACTTAAACCCTTATAAATGAAGGGACTGCCTGAGGCAAGAACAGAGACAGGAAAGAGAAAAGCAGGCTCGTCCGGTGTGCCAAGGAGAGGGCAAAGATCAGCCACGTCAGTAACTCAGAGGGCACCCTGGAAGTGGGAGGAGTGGGGTTTCCAAAGTGTTTGCAAGTATAAAAGCCAAGTTCAGAACGAAGACAAAGGTCAAGTGTGGCCTGTTGGGTCGGCCTGGGAAAATGGCTTGGCTGCAAAAGCGCTCACTATGCAAGCATGAGGATCTGAGTTCAAACCCACTCCCCTCAACTTAAAAAAAGAGTGTGTGTGTGTGTGTGTGTGTGTGTGTGTCTGTGCGTCTGTGTGTCTCTGTGTGTCTCTGTGTGTGTGTGTGTGTCTGTGTGTGTCTGTGTGTCTGTGTGTGTCTGTGTGTGTCTCTCTGTGTGTGTGTGTGTCTGTGTGTGTCTCTGTGTGTGTCACGCATGTTACGGGTAATGATGGCACATCCTTCAGTGCTAGGAAGGTAAAGGCAAAAAAGATCCTTAGAGTCTGTTAGCTGGCCAGTCCAGCTAAATCAGTGAACTTCAGGTTCAGTGTCAGATCTTACCCAAAAACAAAAGGTGGAAAATACCTTCAGTTTCTATATGTACACACACGTGTATGCAAGTATACACACATAGGCATGAGTACACACACACACACACACACACACACACACACATCAATACCAGAAATCTTGCTGGGCCTTTTCTTTTTACAAACTTGATTTAGAACCAACTAATCTACCAGGGAGACTAATGCCTATCTCAGAAGGCTGGAGCTGGGTGTCCAGAGCCCAGTCCCCTTAGATTTCCTTCTCATCCATGTAGAAACCTGAGAAAGAATTCCAGAAGCTCTCCCAAAACTGAGGTAGGCCTGGGAAACTCCTAGGTAAAGATGTCTATGGGAGAGGGCAAGGTGTGACAGCCCGGTCCCAGGCCATTGCTTATGAAAAATGAGACACTTGAGTTATTGACACATCTTGGACCCAACCCACAAAGGCAAGGACAACATCATGGTCAACCCTAACGGATGGACTCAGGGTGCTCAGGGTTCACACAGAGTGGCGTTCTTCACTCTTTCAGCTTACAGGAAATAGTGTGCTATGCTCAGAGAAAGGACAGAGACAGGCGTCCCACAGCAGCAGAATGACCTGTCCCATGCATGCATGAGCTGTGCTATCCTACCTGTTGGAAAATCTCCAGTGACGAACCAGGTAATTAACAGAAAGTGGAGACGTGCTTTCGCATGAGAGAATTTGAAAGGAGAGATAGGTCAGCTGATTCTGGATACACATGTTGCTGACTCACTGTGACCCAGCCCTGCTTTTGTGTGCCTTGCTCTCTCATGTAGCACTCAAAGAATGCAGTACACATCTTGTGACAGGTGCCCGGTGACCCTGTGCCAACAGGCTGACTCACCTCCCATGCTGCTAATGTTCACCAGCCTTCCCTTGGACTTTCTAAGGAGAGGCAGAAACACCTTGGTGACCTCCACAGTTCCGAAGAAGTTCACGGCCATGCATTTTCTGTAGAAGGACATGGGAATGAGTTCCCCGTCAATCGGATAGTGTAAGATCCCAGCATTGTTGACCACGGCCCACAGTCCTGGGGGCGGAAAAAAAAGCCATCTGTGAGGATGGGAGAAAGCTGGAGCATGTGGATATTTTCACACATTGAGTTCTGGAGCCACCAAACCTCTTTGAAAACTAGATTTCAGGCAGAATACAAACTTTCCCAACTTGGTCTCTTCCTATGTACTCAAACTACTCCCATAGTGGAGCAAGGTGAGGAGAACAAACGTGTGTATTATTAAACAATGATTTTGGTGATCCCGTATTTTAAAGTTTATTTATTTTGTGTGGGCGAGAAAAGCCTGCATGCCATGGTGTGCACGTCCAGGTCAGAGGACATCCTATAAGAGTTGATTCATTCCTTCCACCATGTAGATGGTATTGACTGCATTCAGATCACTGGGCTTGGCTGCAGCCACCATCGCTCTCAGAGATGACCTGTCGGCCCCGTTCTTCTTTTGCCTAGTAGCCCTTTCCTTATAGCCAAGATGCTGGATAGTCACTATTTATGGGAACAGCTGGGACCGCAAGATGAGAGTCATAGTGTCATAGCCTGCCAGGTCCTAAAACAGCAGATTTCGACTTGAGGGTCTTGACACCCACAGGGGTCTCCTATCAGACATCCTGCATATTTTTTTGCATTATGATTCATAATGGTAGCAAATAACAGTTATGAAGTAGCAATGAAATAATTTTAAAGTTAGAGATCACCACAATATGAGGAACTATATTAAAATATTTCAGCATTAGGAAGTCTCAAGAGCCACTGTCTTAAAGTTTTGAAGCCTATTTCCTCCACCAAGAAGTATGTAAAGACATCACTAACACACTTCAGGATGATATGTCTACAGCCTTCCCTCATCTCTAAAAGCCTAACAACAAGAGGAAAAGTCCCAATAGCAGGGTGATGGTGATGTCCTAACACCGTGAACCCTACTTCCTGGCTTAGGCAGTGTGTCGCCTTGATGAACATCAGAATCACAGCACAGCTGGTTCAGACCTGTTCCTGGCCTGGCTACCAGAAATTCTGAATCGTCATGAAGTGGGATCTGAGCATCTGCCTTTCTAAGTCCCAAGAGATGTGAATCATCCTTGGAGGACCCTTGCATCCAGCAGTGCTGTTTAGCCCTCTGGGTACTTTAGAATACTGTGTCTTCTGGCTCAAACTACCTCCTAGCCTATTTGATTAACCCTGTGACTGGGAAAGAGAAGGACCCAAAGACAAGCAGTATTTAAACCTTGCCAAGAGTACAGTTGGGAAACGCCCCTTAAGGAGGGGGCGGGAAAGAATGGATACAGTAGTCCTAAGGCAGGCAAGGCGGGAGACAGTTTAGCCTGGAACATTCCATTAATTCTGTATTATTTACACCTCCCTTCCTGTAACAATGCACTCAGAAGCCTAGTTTTTTCATCTGCACATATCATACACACACACACACACACACACACACACACACACACATGCCCATCTCCAAACAGTACACCTAGCAACTTCAGAAACCCTTCATTTCCTCACGCCTGGTTATAATCATACTTGACAGTTTCTATTCATGCATATTCTCAACATATCCGCGTACGAAGAATAAAAGGGCTGATTCAGCCCAAACTGATATTGGGTGTGGCTGCAGTAACCTTTTTAGGGAGAGTCCCCTACTTATCACCTTATGCCTATGCACAATTGGGTGTGTTTACAGTTAAAACCAGATGCATTCTGGGAAGGAACATGTGCAGTACATGTGGTGATATAACTTAGCCAACCAATCAAAATAGAGAATCACCCAAACCATGCTATTTAGTAACCAATCCTTCCTTCCCTTGGGCCTCTTAAAAAGAGATGCCAAGCCATAGCATAGCCTAGGGCCTGTGAGTACTTTCACTCAAGTGGTCTGTTATCAGTCTTGACAGTGTGTCCCTCTGAAACCTATCACTTTGTTCCCAATAAAATGGACTCTCTGAAAATTTGTTTGATCTTTTATTTTCAATTCTTTGGATCAGAGGTTAAGAGGCCAGAAACACCCAGGCCGTACTCATCAACCCAGTAACAGTCCCATAGGGATTTGAAGAGGGGTTCTGAAGAACAAATGGGAGACTTGAGAGGAACAGCAGTGACAGGATCTGGAAATGTTGAGATAGACAGACTTAAACAGACCTGCTAGGTTCATGGAATTCCAGCATGGTGTGGACAGTAGATCTCAAAGCGAGGCTCACCTCTTATCTTCAGCAGCGTTGGCATCTCAGAACTCGTTAGAAATGGACACTTTGAGGCTAGGGATGTGGCTGGATGGGCAGAGTGTTCAGTTAGCATGCACAAAGCCCTAGACCCAATCCTCAGCACTTCATAAACCAGATAGGGAGGTGGACACCTGTGATTCCAACACTTGGGAGGTGCAGGCAGGAGGATCAGAAGTTCAATCCCATCCTTGTCTATACAGAAGGTTTGAGGCCAGTCTGGGATATATAAGACCCCACGACAAAATGAAACTAAGAAAGAGAAAGAGACAGAGACAGAGAGACAGAGACAGAGAGAGACAGAGAAAGGGAGAGAGAGAGAGGGAGAGAGAGGGAATATTTATTTATGTATGTTTGAGAGAGAAAGAGACAGAGACTGAGAGGCAGAGATGAATGGGGGGAAGGAAAGAAAGGGAGGGAGGGAGGAAGGGAGGGAGGGAGGGAGGGAGGGAGGGAGGGAGGGAGAGAGGGAGAGAAGGAGGGAGGGAGAGAAGGAAGGAAGAAGGCTTTGTGCACTGTGTGAAGGGGGTATCAGACTCCCTGGAACGGGAGTTGAAACTGGCTTCCAGCCACTCTGTGGTGCTGGAAACTATTTCCAGGTCGTCTGAAGAGCAGCAAGTGCTCTCAACCACTAGGCCATCCTCTAGACCCAGAGGATCTATGTTAACTTCAATAGCAAACATCTTGGGACTGGGCTGAAAGATCAGTTTCTACATTTAAGTAAGGAGGCCGGGCAGTTGTGGTGCCCGCCTTTAATCCCAGCACTTGGGAGGCAGAGACAGGTAGATTTCTGAGTTCGAGGCCAGCCTGGTCTACAGAGGGAGTTCCAGGACAGCCAGGACTACACAGAGAAACCCTGTCTCAAAAAACAAAAAAACAAAAAACAAAAAAAAAAGTGAGGAAATCATACTTTAGCTGCCTTTGCCTTTGGTGATGCTTGCCTGTGATCCCAACACTCTGGAGGCAGGAGGATTGTGAATCTGAGGCCAGCCTAGGGTGCATAGTGAGATCCTGTCTCCTGAAACCCCCTTTGACTCTTACAAGAACTCAAGATGCATACCTCCTTGCTGTGGCCTGTGGTGATTCACTTTCTCTATCTTCCTCTTGTTTCTCCTGATTTCTTTTTCACTCTTTCTTGGAAATGGTTTTTTTTCCTCACATAATATATCTTGATTTGCTTCCCCTCCCTTCCCTCCTCCCAGTTCCTCCCCACTCCCCCCCCCCATCCAGATCCACTCCTTTCCTGACTCTCATTAGAGAACAGACTCTAAGGGATAATAATAAAATAAAACAAAATATAATAAAGTAATAAAAAGAGAAGACAAAAAAACCTAACACATTAGAATTGGCAAAAACAGACAGAAAGAAAAGAGCCCAAGAGAAGGCATAAGAAATGGAGACCCACGTGTGCACACACTCAGGAATCTCATAAAACACTAAATCGGAAGCTATCATATACACAAAAAAGTAGCTGGTGCAGACCTGTACAGGCCCTGTGAGTGCTGCCTCGGTCTCTGTGAGTTCATTTGACCTTTGCTCATGTTGATTTAGAGAGGGCCTTGTATCCTTGGTGTCCTCCATCCCCTCTGGTTCTTAAATTCTGTCTGCCTTCTCTTCCAGGGTTCCCTGAGCCCTGAGGGGAGGGATTTGATGGAGACATCTTGTATAGGGCTAAGTTCACAATGGTCTCTCACTCTCTGCATGCTGTCTGGCTGTGGGTCTCTGTATCTGTTCCCATCCACTGCAGGAGGAAGCTTCTCTGATGAGGGCTGGGCAGGGCCCTGCTCGATGAGCACAGCAGGATGTCGTTAGCAGTCATCTCAATGCACTTTTTGCAGCCTGACTCAGGCCTGCAGAAACCTTCCATTAGTAAGTTGTTAACCTCTGTGTCTAGTATGTTAACTTTCCACAATTCCAAAGCACATTCAAAGTCAGTGCTGTAGTCTGAAAGGGAGGGGAGCATATCCCCAACAGTGGCAGAGACAAGGTAGTAGCCGTCAGTCCGTACTTGAGGACCATGTACACTTCAGTGAGGGCCAAGAGGAAGGATTGACCATCAAGACCAGATGTTCCGTCCTTAGGAATTTAAATAATGCCCCCAAAGAAATGACAACAGGCTCAAAATCCTGGCATTTCTTTTTGTTTGTTTGTTTGTTTGTTTGTTTGTTTCGAGACAGAGTTTCTCTGTGTAGCCCTGGCTGTCCTGGAACTCACTCTGCAGACCAGGCTAGCCTCGAACTCAGAAATCCTCCTGCCTCTGCCTCCCAAGTGCTGGGATTAAAGGTGTATGCCACCACTGCACGGCTAATCCTGGCATTTCTTTTGCCACATCACTGAAAGATGGTTCTAAGCCTAAACCAAATTGGTCCACAGAAAACAAAATTACATTTCTTGTGAGCCAGAGTTTATGATCACAGGTAGGTACCGAAGGCTGTGACCACTTAGCCAGGATGAAGGCTGCTCACACAGAGAAAGCAGCAGCTGTCAAGACAGGGAATGAGTACAACGCCATTATGCCTGATGTGGACATTGGGTCAGTCAACCCGAAATCTGAGAGAATGTTCTAGTACAGGGATCGTCCAATTTTTTTTTTTTTTATGTAGAGCACCCTTGTGGTCTGGATATGAACTGTCCCTCCAAGGGCTCATTTGGTTCCCCAGTGCAATGTTTAGAGGTGGGTCTTTGCAGAAGTGATTGGATCATGAGGAGGGTCTGACTAACCGACTAATGGGTGAATAACTGTATGGACTACTGGGGACACAGTAGGCACTATGGAAGGTGTGGCCTTGTTAAAAGTGATCACTTCTCTCTCTATCTCTCTATCTCTTTCTTCCTCTCTCCCTCTCCTCTTTCTCCCTCCCACTCCTGTCCACCATAAAGTGGACAGCTTTGGCCTACTTCATGCTCCCTGCCAGGATGCTCAGGCTCATCATGGTCCAGCAGCAATGGAACCATGATCCCAGTAACTCTTCCTTTAAACTGTTCCTCGCTGGCATTTGCCACAATGACAAAGTGCAGAGTATAAAGGCCAAATAC